ATGGATGGATGGAGGTTCTAATTAAAGGAGGCACCCGTACAGACAGTTGATTGGCTATCTGGCCCTGCAGAAAGACACAAGCTCATCAACAGAAAGCTACAGGGCATAAATCATCACCAGGACACAGCTAAAGTACATCTGCACACCAAACATTTCAACCACACCTCAACCAGGATCCAGACACAGAGGCCGTTATTGCTGTCACCTGGCCATTTATAGGGAGGAAACTGTCCCCACTCTTACCCACAGAGGGCAGTGTTCCCACTCTGCCATCTCTCACAGATGCGTTACAGAGTGTGACCTCTCTAGTCAGTAAAGTCATGACCAAAATACAGGTGACAGGCAACACTGATGAAAACACATTGTATTGTGCCGTCGTTGACTGTGGTTTGATAAATTATCATGACACATGGACAGAATTTCTGGTGATGAAATTGTGTTTATAACAAGTCATGTGTAGCTTATATGCAATTTCAGTGATGAAATGGTATATAAGCTACAGATGACTTGTTTATTTTGAACCACCCTCTACACAACAATAATAACCCTGAAATGTAGTTATGGCTTTTGGCTTTTGGGTGGCACCCAGAAATTTCCGTGCCCCTATTCAGCCACGACTGTAAACATGTCTTTAGGTGCCCCTGGTATCAGAGACCTACATGATGTTAAACAGTGGTTTTAATGTTGTGGCTCGCCTATGGAATGTATTTACTGCTCCTCCAGCAGTCAGTCTGTTGCTTTAAATGTGGCTGCTCTCCTGTCAAACAGCTCTGGAGCTTCTGGTGATCAGTGACAGCAGAGAGTTTTAATCCAACAGGAACAGTACTACAGCTTCTGACATGCCCCTTCCTCAAATGTCATCATCATCGTCATCGTCATCTCCATCGTCATCTTCATCTTCATCTTCATCTTCATCATCATCGTCATCATCATGTGTGCTGAACACATGTTTTCATTCCAGGTTATATCTTTGTTTAGGAACATCATTTATGTTTGCCAAAGAATTATTTACCAGTGTATTATTTAAAACTATGTAAAAATGACAATTCACTTGTTGCATCACATGCAGCAAAAATCTCTTACAGTCAAAAGCCAGCACTTACCATCATCCATGCTGCCTCGCAAAGCCAAAGAGCAACAACTACAGAAACAACAGGCGTTTCAGAAAAAGGCTTAAAAGTTTGAAGGCTGTGTAACATATATGTTTTGGAATCATCAGTTCATTCTGTTTTGGACGTAGTCACTGCCACTGACTTTGCATAAACCTCAAAAATATTTAAATACTGCAGCGTGTTTAGTCTAAAGGTTGTTGGGAAGATGCTGTATCCATAAACAAAATATGTTTTGCAGCAGATTTCTCGCTCATTTAAACTCAGGAGCTAGCTTAAAAACATATCTTTAATTAAATACATTTAGATATATGATTTAAAGCTAGCTTAATCAGAATCATGTGAACTTGTTGTACCCACTACTCTGTTCAACGAGGCTAGTTAGTTTTGAGCACCACTTTGCATGTGGCAAAACAGCAGGACATAAATTCTTTATAACTAATTAATTAATTAATCATCCCAGGTTGCACAGTGTTGAAGTGGTTTACATTGTTTCCTTACAGCAGGGAGGTTTTGGGTTTGAACCAGCTGGTCAGATGGTCTGTGTTGAGTTTGCATTGAAGGGCTATTCCACGTTAATTCAACCACCTTTTTAAAACTTCTTCACATCACATTTTGGATTTTGTTGAACAGATATGTACGTGGTCTGCAAGGTTCTTGCCGGTTTTACACATTTCACTTGATTTTTTGTGACAAAAGGATTTCTTTCTAAGTTTCCACTGCTCAGTGCATATCGAAAGTATCTCATTAATAGGAGTCTCCCTACTGTCAAGCAAATTTGGGATTTGTGCAATCTTAAGCCATAGGTGGGGTAATTAGCAGAAACTGGGCTATAAAGATGCCTTCAGAGTGAAAGTGATATTTTTGCATTTTTAAACAATAACATGGGACACAGTACAAACAATTCAATTTAATTCTTGGTACACTGGATTTGCAATAAAAGCTCTTGCATTTTAGGTAAATATTTTTCTTCTATATTTACAACACAACAACTTTTATACATTCAAAAATGTTCTTTATGACCAATAGAATGTATTTATGTGGAATCCAGCATTTAAAAAGCACGAAAGTAGCCTTTTGTGAAGAATTTCATTTATCTATTATAGAAAATCAATGATGCATATATCTCCAACTTTTACATTATTTATACACGACATTGTGTTCTTCACACTAATGTATGATATATTTGATTATTGACATGACATTTTTGTACAACGTGTTTCACGTTTGATTTTTTGTTTGTCTTTAAAGGTAAATTTGTTCCACTTAAACCAACTATGGCCTTGAAACTGTACAAATTCCCACCAAAACCTGTTATAAAGTGAGAGGAGAAATATTAGTTGTATATTTTATGCTGTTTTACTATTTGAACAATGAGTGTTCAAAATTTTGGAAAAACAAAACTCAAGATCTTTCACGTGTTATTTATTTATTTAAATTTTTTGCCTTTGCTGAATTTGACATGAATCCCCAAATTTAGGTCAAATCTGTCAGAAGCTTCTACACAAAGTACATATCTGTCCCTATAAGGAAAATTAAAACACAACATTTGTGTGTAGTTCTATGAAGCCCCGAAACTTTTAGGAGACAGGCCTCGTCAGTGACCACCATAACAAACTCATCATGTAAACCAGGATGCTCTGGCATTGTTAGATGACTAACTTTCCACCATTAGCTATAGGGTACTAATTCCCTCTACTTCCAGCCTTTTTGCTAAGCTAGGCTTCACACTTTAAAGACATGAGATATCTGTATATAAGTAACCAGTGATGAAAGTAGGACAGCAACATTCGTTATCCTTCCTGATGATATTGATTCATTAATATCTGTTTCACTGACATTGTAACATAATAATATTGCTTTGTTGTTGTTGTTGTCAACCATTTGTGATTTTTTTTTTGGTTAAATAAAACAATCCTAACAAGTTGTGTTTGACCTGATTTATTTTCTTTGAAGCAGGTGAATGGAAAGTTTAGTCGATTTTGAAGAAGACAGAATCACACAGACAGAGAGTAGGAGGAGAGGATGACAGATGAAGATGGTTACTAAATGCAAAGATGTGGTTTCCTTTGCCGTTGACACCAACTTCCTGTTTGTGTTATTTCTGGTACAACCTGTATGTCATTCTTCCTCGCTTTCTGTCTCCTTCTTTTCTTCATCTTGCTCATTGACGGCTTGTGTTTCTTTCAGTCTCCCTTTTATTTATTTTTTTTTATTTTGCTTTGGACCTCTCTTTTATATCTTGTGTTCTTTCTTCCTCCCACTTTCTCTTTTCATCTCCTGTATGTTCTCCTGCTACAGCTTTGCCTTGACATGCCTGGTTATGAATGTGTTATTATTTTTGCAGAGGCCATAAGACAGAGAAAAAACAAGCGGGATGCGCAACACATGGTGTTATTCTGAAAACAAACCCAAAGTGTTGTTATACAGATTCCGGGGTTCAACTCTTGTCTCTGTATCACCAGAGGTCAGGTGTCAAGTATTTTGCACCTTAACTAATGATGGCGACAACGAAAAGGAAAGTGAATGATGAAAAAGGGGTTGTCAGCCCTGCATGGGAGATGGGGTTTGCTTTTACGGAGATACACGGGAAACCGATGTGTGTCATCTGTCAAAAAAACAATCGCCGTGTCAAAGCGACTGTTCTACTGTCAGGTTCATTTTCATCCACCCCGTACTGTGCCTACCTCACATCATTAAAAGAGGAGTTTTCCTCCCAGTTCACAGACATCAAGTCCTTGAAACCCATGCTGGCATTCACACAGAATCCATGTGCTTGTCATGTACAGGCTACTTCAGTCTCTGTTACACCTGAGCAATTTGGAGTCGGAAGGGCTGTCTGAGGAGCAACTCATAGAGCTGCAGCACAACAACATCCTCAATCAAAGACACAAGGAGGAGAGCATTGACACATGTTCTAAAGAACAAATACCTTGCATTAACCCTTTGCGCTCAGAAAATCCTGACCTGCTTTGGATCTACTTATGTGTGTGAAAGTTCCTTCTCTGTCGTGGGAATAATAAAATCAAAGCAGCGTTCCTGTCCAACTCAGACAGTTCAGACTCAGAGCAGCTACAACTGAGCAACAACCAGATCTGAAAGTACTTGTGAAAAGAATGCAGACTCAGAGCTCTCACTATTGTTATTGTTGTTTATATTTTCTTCCAAGTTCAATGATGTTCTGCAAACTTTATTAATACCCCTGGGCTAGGGTATGGGCAGTGGTGAGCACATTACGAGTGTGTATCTGTGTGTGTGTGTGTGTGTGTGTGTGTGTCTGTATACCTCACACAAGTGGTTCTCATCCCACGGTTTATGTCTGTGTGTGAGTTCATCTGTATATGAGTGGGTGTATTTTAGCTTATCCTGCCTGGTCAGGTCACGGTATGAGATGATAATCTGGCCTCGTTGCAAATGTCCCATCCAGAGAAACAATGACAGATGACTGCAGATTACAGCTGCAGATTATCCAGCAGGGGATTGACAACAGGGGACAAATATGGAAGTCCAGGGGGGGAGAAGGAAGAGATAACTATGGATGGATGACATTTATTGAAAGATAAACACAAAATGTCAGTTACTGAGCAGATACAGCAGCCAGAGGGATGAACGCTTTAGGCAGGACACTGGCTCCATTGGAGATGCTTTTTTGTACAGTTTTTGAAAAACAAATTCTATCACTACCAACAACACCAGCGTTTCCAAAGTGTCAAACACATAAAACACTAATGCTGGAAACACAGATGTTGTGACTCACTCACCAGATAAATATTTTCACATCCATTCTATATCTTCATATCAGTACAAGATGTAATTAGTAATCTTCAAGATGCTCTGTACAAAAACACCACAGCAACCAAAGGCAGAAAAAACACTGAAAAATCATTTAAATGATAACCGTGGGGTGGGGGTTGAGTTTTGGTTTTGTAAGATCCTTATCTGTGTTTTCCTTTTCCCTGTGTCTCCTGTAACTGTATCCAGATCATCTGTCAACAAACTACAACTCCATTTTTGTTTAACCTGCCCTAGACAATTAGATGAGGACCAGATTGGCTGCAGCTTGAATGCCTTAGACTCTTAACTTGTCAGTAGCACTAAACAAGATAATTCATTTTAGGTTGTTGCTGAGATGATATCCACAAACTGGTTCCTTCATGAGTCCTGGTTCAGGTGTAGGAAGATAAAACTGCAGAAAAATCAAGAGTGGGCCTACTGTCAGGGCCACAGGTCGGTGTACATTTTCTCAATGCCCTGGAGAGAGGCTTCCTTTGGTAATCTGACTCTTTAGCATGACAGTAGCTAGAGCTGCACGGTGGCTCGGTTGTTGGCACCGTTCCCTCATAGCTAGAAGATCTCGAGGAGTTTGTGTGTTCTCCCTGTGCAGCGTAGGATCTCACTGGGTTCTCCAGCTTCCTCCCACAGTCCAAAAACATGTTGAGGTTAATTGGTGATTCTAAATTGTCCGTAGGTGTGAATGTGAGTGTGCTTGGTTGTCTGTCTCTAAGTGTAGCCCTGTGATAGACTGGTGACCTGTCCAGGGTGTCCCCTGCTTTCACCCTGAGTCAGCTGGGATAGACTCTAGCCCCCCACGATCCTAGTGAGGATTAAGCGGTGTATAGATAATGGATGGATGACAGCAGCTAGCTCCCATCTTACAACTACTCCAATTTTAAACATGAAATGTCTGACGCTGTATCAAATTTCCCAATGAGACGCATACTCTTATAATATTGATAAATTGTAACCCCTCATGAAGTACAATGTTGATGTAAGGATCAGTAATATGTTCATACAGAGCCCGAAATTCTCCTTTAGGCTTCAATAATGTTAACAAAATCAGAAGTAATGTAATTCAATAATAGGAAACTGCAGCATGAATAAGAATTGCATTAAAAGTATTGAGTAGGAATGGGGTGAAGGTCTGTGTGGTGAAATGCTCATGCTGATGTTTTTTCATTTTTTCCTCCTTCCTCTGTTAATCTCTACTCTCAGTGTCACATCCATTGTCCTCTAAGCCCCTTCTGCTGCTCTGTCACTATTCTATTACTAGTCCATGACCAGCCGCACCACACACGCAGACACAAGCATGCACTGAGGGATGATTGGAGGAAGATACACACCCTTATCAGCCACAACAATAAAATCACCAGCTTAATGTCGTGTAGGCCTCCCCTTGTGTCGCCAAAATAGCTCTGACCCTCTGAGGCCTGCAGTCAACAGACATTTAAAGTTGTCCTGTGGTAGAAGGCACCAAGATGTTAGCAGGACATCAAAAAAGTTGTTCATTGAACAAACTTGCATTTCCAGCACATCCCATAGAGTCTCATTTAGGTCGAGGTCTGGGGAACTTGGAGGCCAAGTCAAGACCTTGAACTTGAACAGTTTTTTATGTTCCTCAAACCATCACTAAGCAATGTCTGCAATATGGCAAGGCACACTGTTGTATTGCACTGGTGCTGTGCCCTTGAAGGAGGATGCTAGGGGGTAGATCAAACAGTATGCTACTTCTTATGTAAGTTTAACAAGCAACTGATCAAACACCACAATTGAAATTTGCATTGCTACTTGCACTTTAGCACTTTGAGATATATGTTGGGTCTACTTTTGGGTCTTATTTCCGTCTTGCACCATTTGCAGTAGCGGCGCTTTTTACCGCCATAATTATTTTATTTTCCTCATCGATCTCCATTAAAACAACGTGTTGACTGAAGCAGCTGCAGTCGATTGTTTCATTTTGTGCAGAAGAGTCACGTGATGCGTTAAACGCCTACACAAAGAACGCCTGGCGATGTTCAACTTGTTTCGCCGTATGACCCTCTGATCTACTGCTGTCAAGAGAGCATTGCTTATTAACATAATGAAACGTGAAACAGACAGATATACTTCAGTCATGCTTCCTACGTTCTTTTTCATAGTTTCAGTCTTGGCTACCTCTCCTTCAACTATTTCAACTTTTGCATGTTCTTGTTTTGCAGTGACATAATGGAACAGACTGGAGAATCAACCAGCACCAGATTTGCAGTCAATGAGTGTTTCCATTGGACTTACTGACTTCGTAAGACACCCATAGTGAAACACATCCTAATTTGACTGTATTTGTGTGTGGGACATATTCTTCACCTCCAGATAGTGTTGTACAGACACATAGACACAGTGAGGCATTTAAGAAACCTAAAGAGTATTCAATTAATGGGGGAGGGGTGAGGGAGGAGAGAATGAGAACAAGAAGCTAAACCTATAAGAAAAAAAACGAGATCATGAAGAATATGAGGGAGGAGGAACATGGGGGGATTATTTACTGTTGTAAATGAATAAATCCGTATTGTGTGAATCTGCCACAGAGAGAGAGAGAGAGAGAGAGAGAGAGAGAGAGAGAGAGAGAGCGAGCGAGCAGAGATTTAGAGCAGCAGCAAACCAGCAACGAAGAGCACGACAGACAAAAAAGAGGATATAACGGTTTTGGTTTTGTTCGTTTTTTTTTGTTTTTTTTTTTACATTTTTTATATAAATGATATATTTGTAGTATTTCAATGGTCCCCTTTGGAATTGGAGATATGCCTAATAATCATTTTAAAAAGGCTTGAGGAAAAGATTGGATCTGGAGCTGAAATAAACAGATGCAGGTAAAAGTAGAGCCTCGTGAGTGTGTTTGTGTGTGTACTTATACTTATGTTCTGAGGCCATAAATTAGATTACACAGTCAGTAAATCACTCTTTTTTTTAGTGTGGTGAGTTGTTAGAAGGCTAGAAAATGGTTAGATTTAGATTAAGAATAGGGTTAGATAATTAATAG